TGCATTGTCCACAAATTGAGTTTGTACATACGATTCTCAACTATGACGACTCGAGCCACTGGATACCCTTCTTGTTGCTAAGTTGTAAATTTTATCTTTCATATGCACGGAATATCCTCGCTTCATGAGTTGATCCATACTTAGGATGTTACTCTTTAGATCGGGAACATAATACACTTCCTCAATTGTTCCTCTCATGCCACAATTTTTTATGAAGAAAATTGTACCTTGTCCTTTAACATGGATTTTAGATCCGTCTTCAGAAGAAACATGCCCTTCCTTCACCTCTTGTAGCTCATTGAATAGGTGCTTGAGCCCGCAAATGTGGTTGCTTACACCTGTGTCTAGATACCACATCGAATCGACATCATTATTGGTACTATTTTATACCATAAAGAGAAGTTCTTCATTTTCTCCATTATCTATGGCAAGATTTGTATTTTCTTCAACTTTTTTCTTGTTCCAGCAGTCCTTCGCGTAGTGCCCAACCTTTCCACAATTATGACATTTTTTTGGATTGCAATTCTTCGCAAAATGGCCATTCTTCCTGCACTTGTAGCATTCAAGTGCCTTGTATCCTATGCTATGCCCAGGACTTCTTAGATTTTGTTGGCTGGTTTTCCCTTTTTTCTTCCTGGCTTTTGCATCGGCGACGGTCCCTTGTACCATGACCTCTACGGCCACGTCTTTGTCCTTGAGAGTGAGCAACCCACAATACTTTATCTTTAGCAATCGATGCCTTAGATTTGAGAGCTTTCTCTAGTGTCTCTTCATTCTTTTTTTTTTCTTCTATTGCTCATGAGCTTCAAGGATCCAACGAGTTCATCCACCATCAAAGTTGCGGTATCTTTCGATTCTTGGATCGAAAATACAATATTGTAAAAACTATCTATTAGAAAGCGCAAGATCTTTTCCACTGAACGCGTTTCTGTTAGTGTTACGTCATTTCTCTTGAGCTGATGTACCACGGTTTGCCCATGTTCAAACATACTTTCCGACTACTTCATCTTCATGCTTTCCAATTCACTTCGAAGAGCTTGGAGGTGTACTTGTTTAACTCGGTCATCCCTTCTAAAGCATCTTTCCAGTTTTCTCCACGCCTCTTTGGAAAATTTTGCATAAGCTATCTTCTGTAAATCAGATTCATCGAGAGCTTGAAACATGATGTGAACCGTTGTCTATCCTTCACACGCACTTCTTTCAACGCCTTTAGTTGATTCGTTGATAATGTATCAGCTGCTTAAGGTTAATCATAACCATTTTTTTACCACTTTCCATGCACCATTTGCACCAAGTAACACTTGCATTTGGATACTCCAACTTTTGTAGTTTGATTTTGTCAATCGTAGCTCCATCAACTTTTTTGTATTGTTCGAACTAATATTGGTGGCTCTGATACCAATTTGATAAAGAAAATTATATATTCTTGAACCCATGATAATAAAAAAATAAAAAACAGAATGGGGGTGAGCCAATCTGGTTCTTATTCTTTTATTATATGAAAAACAAAAATCATACACGAATCATTATAAATAAAATATAGAAATATAAAAACAATAAATTAAAATAAGCGCTAGTAAAGAGACATTCCAAACACCTCCACTCCCCACATTGTGGTGTCTTTACCCTTTTGTCAATTTATTTCCCATAAAGATAATTTCATTAAATTTATTTCACATCCTCCACCCCCTGAAGTGGGCTCATTGCGTCAAATTCTGAGAACTCTCAAGAGCTTGTAAACAAAAGTTGATTGGTGTATATGTTCTCGAGAGGTATCCCAAGGATTCATGCAACAGGATTTCAAGAATGGACGGTTTTTCTTTTTAATTATAAATACTCTCACATATGGGTTACTAAACCTACTCTCAGAAATTAGAATACACCATCGCTATTTGAGAGCCAGGGTTTGACAACGTCATCCTAGGGTTACAAGATCTGGCAGCATCTTCACAGGGTTTCAAAGTTTGGCAATATCCTCCCAAGGGTTCCAGAGTTTGGCAACACCATCTTCCCACGGTTCCAATCTACTGTTCTTGAAGAAGAAAATCTCAAGAACAAATTTAATTTTTAGCAATGGCTGGAGGTTTGTTTAAATTTCGCTATTCGCTTCTACGAACATATTTTATTAGATATTTATTTTCTGACAATATATACATATTTGCTTGACCATATCTATTGATTGATACAACATATATAAGATAAGTATTACAATGATTTTATATCATTTCTGTCATCCTTCGTTCGTATTCATGATCCATAACAAAATCCTCATTGCAAAGGAAATCAGTTCACAAGTTAAACATATATGAAATTTTTATAGACTTTTCTTCTCAGAGTATACTTCTAAATTCCACAAGAAAACTGAAAGTTTATTTGCAGGAATAAGCAATATAATATATATCATGTACAAATCGGAACACGTATATATTTTAAATGTAATATGCTCTTGGTTTCGTACATCAATGAGTTATCTTGTTGTATTTAAGAAGTTCCATGAAAGCTATTGATATGATTTTGTTGGATATTTTTCCAAACCATTAAAAAACAAGAGAAGCTTTACGAAGCATTTGTATTATCATATCACATGTAGGATAAAGTATAATCTCAATTATCTATATACAACTACTTTTCTCTTTATAATTTTATTTAGTTATATTCTATTTACATAGATACTTTTGAATATCATGATACTATTTATAAATAATAATATTTTTCTTAAGAAACATCAAAGCAAATATATTTTTCTTATAATTCAAAAAATTTTGAAGACTTTTGAACTTTCAAGATTTTTATCTAAATATTTTATATTAAGAGGTTATATAAAACATTAAAATAAGATTTCAAGATAAAGAAATAAATGATGTCATATACAAAGCTAAAATAAATATCACAAGTACCATTTTCCTCTAATTGCAGAGTGATCTCAAAGATTATTACTTGTGCTCACTTTATATATTTGGATGAACGTATTTTTTATAATAGATATTTAATTATATTGGTAATATAATAAATTTAATATTTTGTATTGAATTATTAAATTTTTTGAATGAATATATATTTTATTGTGTTAAAGTGTGTATATAATATATTTTTTAATAATATTTTATGGAGAATTGTGTCATTAATAAAAACAAAATGAACAAACACATTATTTAAGGGTTGGTCAGAAGATTGATAACCAAATAATTTTCATAACATTAATCAATCAAATATAAAATAGTAGATTATACTCTCCTTTATTTCTTCTATAAACACATGAAAACGGAAAATAAGCCTTTATAGTTATTTGATCAACTATTCTTGTTCAAGTTTTAATTTAATAGAAATATATGCTGAAAATTATTTCTGAAAAATATATAAATATACATAGTCCATGTATTTTAATATAGATATATAAAATATTTTATGTAAATCTTATAGTTGTACCCGGTAATTCAAATTTCTTCTTCGGACGGCCTATAAGAAGGGGCCCGTCAGAAGATTGATACGAGGGTTCTCGAAAGTATTCTAGAAAGTTTTTAGGACAGATATTTCGTGTCAAGTTGATTGGTGAAAAAGTTGAAAAGAAACAATGATTGGACAATAGACAAATATACTACTCAAAAGAAAATTGTATAACAAAGAGAGTAAATGAACAAAATGTGTAAACAAGCTAGAACCATATAAGCAAACAAAAACATAGACGAAATAAAACAAGAACAAAGGAAAATGAGCAGAAGTTTTTGTCTCTTCAGGTGTGTGTCCTCTTTTGATCGATCCGGGCTCTTTTATTTCTCTCATTCAGTTCCGGTGTGTTTGTTTGGAGGTTTGGATTTTGAGTTGAGATTTTGAATAGTAAAAATTTTGAATTTGAATAATTGTATGATGTGATATAAATAGGTGTTGATGTGGTGTTTTAAATGTAAAATTGATTTTTAGTATAATATAAAAAATAAAAAATAGGTGTTTGATTTGATATTTTTGGAGAAAAAAATTGGATGAATAGTGGATTTAAAATCCAATCCCCCAAACAAACACATATTTATTCCCCAAGTAACATCCACAATCAATCTTTCCTCCATTAATATCCTCATGGGGCTCAAATATGTTGCTTAGTTAATTTAAATTAGATTTATTAAATTTAAATTATTTTTCAATTGAATAAATCCCAAAGTTTAGAAAATAAATTATTTTCCTGTTATTTATCCCTATTATTGTGTTTAGTTGATTAAGAATATAGCTTTTGATTTTGGATCATTTATTAGAACGTATTTTCTTTTAGCAATTTAATCAGATTACAACATTCCTTGCATTTCATTTATCTTCTATATTAGATGAAGAAAGTACGTTATGTTAACTTTATACTAATAGAAGATGATCTTATATATGTACTTGTTTTGTTTCACATAATTTGTCCATATTTTCTATTTTGATTTGTTCCGCATAGTTTATCAATTTCGTTTTTTGAAACTAATTATCCACTTTAAGCCGCACTTTCTTAAATGTTAATTAGATTAATTAGTTAATTTAATCTTAATCGATAATTATTTTTTTATATAATAATTATTTTTACTAATAAACTTTTTAATTATTCACTAATTATACTGTAGAAGTAAATGTTGAGATATTTTAGATATTTAGTTTTAAAATTAGTAGATTTATATTTAGATTTAATCTTATTCATAAATTATATTACTTAGATTTGAGTCTATCGAATCTTTTGTATTGCCTATATATAAGCTCCTTATTTTGATTATAAAAAAAAAAAAAAAAGATGTTTTAGAGTTTCTGCAAATATTTAAATATGGTATCAGAGCTACTTTTCTCATGTCGTAGATATAGCCTGCCATCCCGCGTTTCTCCGGGTACATTGAATCTCGGATATATCCGGAGGTCTCCCAATTTTGAAATTTTTTTTTTAAAGTTTCTAGCCTTTTTTTTTTTTTTTTCCTAGAAAATACTAGTGTTCTATGAATTTCTAGAAAATGCAAAGAAATAGTATTATAGTTCAGCCAAAACAGTAAATAAAAAAAGCACGCCTTCATCTTAATTTATACCACAATTTGGAACTGAAGTTGTGGTTACACTTGAGACTAGTAATATATGTGATAAAATTTCACCAACTAATTAATTAACAATTTGCTAGATTCAAATTGGAACTGGATTTACAAATAATGCTAAGATATGCGGTTTCAAATTCGTTTGTGGATGTGTGTATCCATCTTGGTTGTTCTTGTAAGCAACATCGATGAGTCGAGACATATTGAGGATCCTCTCAACGACGCCTTTCGAATACAGAGACATTTTCAGGCACTCTTGGTTGATGTCCTTCCACGCATTTTTAGCCATCTCACCAAGTTCATACAGTGCCCTTTCTTTTGTAACATCATTGTCTTTCATGTAACATTCAATACCTGTCACCATTTGGCCTCTTTCTTTCTCAACCTAACATATATAAACAACAATATCTAGAGCACATTAATTAATTTTGTATTAACAAGCTAGATACAAGTTGTCTATGTATAAATATCGTATATACCTCATAGCTTGCCACATCATCCGTGAGTCGACAATTGATGAGGCTCGCTATAAGCATTTTAGGTTTTTGATATAGGCATTCGAAATCATTCTTGGTCGCAAACTTCATCCCCAATAAAGACACCATGGTGTGATAATAATAGCTGCAGCTTATGAGACCGTTGTTGAGATACTCCGTGAAAGATGGATATTCTCCTTGTATGAACCATTTTGCCTCAACATTATAGCTTCTTGCCAATTCTTTGAGCTATACATACATACATATATATACATAGAGAAAATTGCAAAAAATATTTCACATTTATACCTCATTATCACTTTCGCCCTGTATTTATCTAGTTGATAAAATATATACTACATATTTGCAAAAGTCGTTATTTATATCCTTTGGTCGCGCATACCAGTGCGTGATCGCGCGTCACTGAGCGTGGTGTGAACACTACGCGCAACTAAAGGATATAAATAGCGACTTTTGCAATGTAGGATATATTTTGCCAACGAGATAAATACAAGACGAAAGTGATAATGGGGTATACATGAGAGATGTTTTTTGCAATTTTCACTATATATGTGTATATATATGATTGAGTGTGAGCATACATGCACGAGATTGTAGAAATAACACATAAAGTAATGAGATTGTGAAATAATACATCATACAGCATCAATGGCGTATGTTATCGTATAAGATCTTCCTTCTTTCTCTAACTCAGCTTCGATTTGTTGGTAGAGTTCAAGAAAAGCTTTATAGAAGTCTTTTATATATTCTGGTAGCTGATCAATTTCTGAAATATCCCACCTAATAAAAACCAAACCTTATGAGATGAACCTTTGACATAATTTGAAATTCGATTAGTTATCTTTTAAAGAGAATATTTTACCTTTCTATGGCTTTGGTAAAAGCCTCTAGCTCTTCAACCGTGCCATAAGCATCATATGTATCGTCCATTATCGATGTCATTGCAATGAGTTTAGCAAGCATAACACGAGCACGGGAATATTGAGGTTCATAATACACTCCCGTAGCCCAAAAGAAACACTCGACTACTCTATCTCTTGCATAGCTATACTTCGAGATCAAGTTCAATTCTTTCCACCACCTATATAATCAAATGGATAAAGATACCTTTCCGATCCAAAAAAAAAAAAAAAAAAAAAAAGGATAAAGATAACTATTCCTTTTCATTTGTGTGTAGAATATATGTTGAAAAGTATGGTTTATATTCATATGCTTGTGCATTTAGGGTGTTCTATAGTTTGTGGGATGATATTATAACACATATTATTATTTTAATAGTTTATATAATCACATAATAAAATAATTCAATTATTGTATAAAAAGTATTAAATTTGCCTAAATAAAATATCTCAATCATATTATAAAATTAATAGTAAATTAGTTTTAATGAAAAATCAAAATAGTATTTTAATATTAATAATATTTTTCTTATTTAATGTGACCTACAAGAGAAGAATTAATCATTTTTAATTATGCTACTGTTATGCCGAATTTTACTTTATTGAAAATTGGATAAATTAATATTATCCAATATAATCCGTCAAAGTAAGTCCACCCTTGAATGTATAACGCAAGTAAATTTCATTACCTTGACACTTCTTGAAGCTCTTCCTTGTGCAATATTTGTAGTTGATTATAGTCAAATTTGGCAAACCTCAACAAGAAATCGATATTGCATTCATCCTCCTCATAAATAGAAATAAAATTTCGAGCTTCGATTCTTGGACAACCCAAGTGCAGGCTTTGCACTAAAGCATGCACTACTTGTTTCCGAAGGGGCGACGAGGGTTCAAGATCATGTACCGTAGTTTTTAGATTCGTTGCAGCGAAAGTGAAAGCATCATCCAATATTGTTTCTCCATGTATTCTTAAATGTGTTGCTTCATACAAGCTCAGCAAACCCCTTACATCATTTTTAATCCGCTCTTGGAAATTTCCATTTTTGTCTATCCATTTGCAAAATATATCTGCACGTTATGTAAAGCACAATCTTTTTTAACATGTATACATGTAGAAACATATATATATATATATATACATACCCGAAACTATTTGTGTGCTGATAAAAAAAATATCGAATATGATGCTGACAACATTTTGAATATTGACAAGCACACATGGACCATAAATTAACAGTACAAACTTTGTGTTATATAAAAACATCATCTTAACTAACAATACATGACAATGATCAAGATAATACATACAAATGTTAAACTCAATACAATAAATATATTCATATAGCATACTTTATCATTATGAATTGTCAGCAGATAATTTAGATTAATACAGCACACCTATATATATTTTTTTATGCGTCGATTGGTGCATAACAACCATGTTGATTTGCAAATGATGTCCTATATATGAAAAAATTTTGTAGATTGTAAGAGATGAACCGAACCACATACGTACCACAAGAAATATGATGTCCATGCTGCCTAAATAATCGAAAGTGCAGCGCGACCGTGTAGAGATCGTAGGTTTCGTCGTCGTAGTTAGTATTGAGATTGAAAATTTCTTGCAACTTGTGAGCAATCTCATTTTGGAAATGATATGCTATCCCGAGGCGTTCAAGTGTATCGATTAGATTCATGGTATCTATCATTTGAATCCCCTTACCAGATAGTTGACTTCTCACTTCATCCTTAAACCCTTCAATTTCTTTCTTGTGTTTTTCCAGAACCTACACATACAACATAATTTCGTTAACTAATAGTAATTATAATAAAATGCATTAAAAGATTATTACACCTACCTGAGAATCAAAATTATGTTTGAGGAAGTGTTCACCCCACAAGCTTGGAGAGAAATTGGCTAATGGACGACGAAAGTGATTCGGGGAAGAAGCCATGGATTCCTGTGTGTAGTTATAAGGTATGGGCAAAAATGAATGTAGCTTTTGTAGAAAAATGATTAAGAGACGCACATATATATAGAGAGAGAGAATTAGTTGGAAGAAGCTCTCCGATCCATACATGTATGTATTACATAGCTTTGATGTTAAGACAGTTAACAATCCAAAACTCATTTTTTGCTTTTTCCAAGACTATATTATCTGCCACATCATATCATCTTAATAATCCCAAAATCCGACGCTCCAGGTCTTATTTATCGCACATGGTTCATCTAATGTGATTTATCAAACCTAGTTTTCATATTATTAGAGATAGTAGCCGCGGATTCCACATTATAAAAAAATAAAAAAATAAAAAAATAAAAAAAAAGAAAATAACCCATTAAGAACTCATTCAAGTTTTTACTTATATTGTACAATGGAATTTTACATTTTTTTCACATTAACAAATTTATTATTTTATTTAGTATGATATTTATACAAGAATTTCTTTATATAATATTATTTATACATTATAATATTTTTTTAATTTAATAAAATAACTTTATGATAAATTTTTTATATTAAATAAAATAATTTAGTAAATAAAATTTATATATTACATTTATATTATTCTATAATACAATAGTTAAAACTAAAAATAAATTACATTTTAATTATTTTATAAAATAAAAATAAAAAACTGAGAATTTTATGTATTACTTAATATTTTTATTAATTCTATCTATTAAAATAAGAAAATACTTATTCCATCCCAAAATAAATGATACCTTGTTCAATTCATAATTTATCTCATTTTATTTGACACATTTCAATATTGAGTAAATTAAAATATACTTAACAAATATAAATCAATTTAATTAACTTTATAACATTATAGATTTATCCAAAATTTCTCTATTTCTATCGCTTTCCCCAATAAACAAATATTGTTATCTATATTTAAAAGTCCATATATTTTATAAAATTAGTTTGTATTAATTATATTTAAATAAATTTATTTTGTATTTTTTATTTTTGTTTTATAAAATTTTATATTTTAGAAAATAATATTCATATATTAGATATTTTATTAAAATTTGAGTTTAAAATATTTAAACAAATATTTAAAATTTCTTTTTTATTATATACATCATAAACACGTGTATAATGAATTTTATCTATCTATCTATCTATAATCTATATATATTTAATGCATTCTTGCTGATTTAGATTACGACTTAAAAAATATAAATCCCTTTTCATCATCAACTCCACCCTCTCTTATAATATAAAACACAATTTCCACAAGATAAATAATTATGAATCGACATAAACCTAACCATAAGGACAAATACTGAATACACACACATATTCAATAATTCACATTCTTACATACTGCACATATTCAATAATGTACAAATTCAATCATGCATGCACATACTTACATACTGCCCATATTCAATAATGCACATTCTTGGATCATATGCCTGGTAGATTTGGTAATATTGGTTTCCACAATTGCTCTCTCTGTGCACATCTGGATGATACTGCAATAAAATTCACATTAATTCATTCCATGAAAACAAGCAAACAAAAACACAATAAATCAAATCAAACACCGCAGATAAGCAATCAATGAAATTATCATTTTGAAAAACAATAGGAATAAATCAAAGCTAACAATATATATATATATAGATATCTTTAATCTTGAAGTTTTTTTTAAAGAAAAATATTTGATAATTAGAATTGTAAATACTGCAATTGAATAGGGCAACAAACACCATAAAAATAATCATTTAATCCGTTTAAATGAGTAGTTAAGTGATATGAATAGCACATGCACATGCATGCATGATATTATAATAACCGGAAGTAGAGTTATATACATTTGTGTCTGATATTTGTTACTTATGGTGCTGAAACTAAATATATTTTATTTTCGGTCTATTAGACAATGTTTACACTACAAGAAAAAATTTGTAACAAAATTTTTTTGTCTCTAAATCTATTTTTTCCGTTACTAATGACATTAGAGACAGAAATATGAATGAAATTACGTTAGCTACGTGAACTTTAGGGACGGAATTCCGTTACAAATATATTATTTTTTTTGTAGTATTAGGTTTGAAAAAATTTATATGATTTTAGCTCTCGTATCTTTGACGAGAGATATTAATCAAATTATTAAATTAAATTGATTGTGGAGGATTAAATTAACATTTGTTATATAAGTCTTGAAAAAAAAAATTTTTAAAAAAAAGCAAAAATAAATTGAATAGACGGTCTACTATAGAAATTTCGATGTAATTAACAATAGTTACATTCCCACCCTGGGATACTTCCGCTTAACTCTAAAGTTCTTTCAGTAGAGCTACCGAAAAAAAATGTGCACATTGTTGATATGAGTAGTCTATTCAATCAATTTAACCTATATTCAGCATCGGATGGCATGCACCGGCCCAACTCCGGGGGTATTACATCCTCCCCCACTTAACAATACAATGTCCACGTTGCACCCCAAAGATCATCTACTCCTAGGCCCGTCACCAGTTCGGTCAACGACTGCGAGCTATCGCAGGTCGGCTTTGATACCAACTATGACACCCTAGCCCGCAAGTCACGCAAAGTCGAGCATGTCGGGATCGTAGACTAGCCCCACAGGTCAACACGATTCCTTTCAGCGCGTTTCTATCATCACTCATGCGCACCCTGGGAGACTTCCAAGGGGTCACTCATCCTCAAATTCCTTTCAGCGCGTTTCTGTCATCAGACATGCACACCCTGGGAGACTTCCAAGGGGCCACTCATCCTCAAATTACTCTAGAACAAGCACGCTTAACTCTAGAGTTCTTTCATTAGGACTCCCGGAAATGAATGTGCACATTGTTTACAAGTTATCTATTCTATCCAATTAACCTATATTCTACCTAGGACAGTCTGGCACTGGCTCATCCACATGAGTTGACATAGCACCGGCCCAACTTCGGGGGTATTACAGTTCTATTCTCTTGCAATGAATTAATGTTGCGACGGAAATGATGATCACTAATTCTGTTGGAATTCTTCTGCGTTGAAAAATCTTAAGTGTCACTTCGGATTAGTATAATAATATTTACTACAACTTCTATTTGGACACAAATTCCGTTGTATTGGAAATTGTAACAAAATATTTTTCAGTTGTAAGGGAATTTTTCCTTAGTAATTTTTATTATTATTATTATTTTTGTAATGATATAAATTCATATTCACATCACCAAATGACAAAGACGGAAAATCATACTCTTCTTGGTTGTTACAAGACAACCCCCAAAAAATCAAAAAAATTAAAAAAGAAAGAAAGTTACCTCAAGAGCAAGCTTCTAGAATGCCTTCTTAACCTTAGACTCGAAAGCTCCTGGATAAATTCTTAAAATCGTGTAAGAATGAGTCACAACACAGGACATACAAGAAACCCTTAATCCTTTTCTCTTAGACTTCCTAACTCTCCAACTCGAAGAAGAAGACAATCTTCAATCCAACACAGAAACCCGATGCAGACCAACACCCCACACTATTATTCCTTCCATTCTTTAATAAAGTGTCAATTCTCACTACCCAAAAATAGTTTTCTACTACGGCCGAAAAATCATAACAAAAAGTTATTTTTCGTACTATTTGCGTATTTGCTACGCCTTAGTGACGACTTTTATCTGTAATGTATACTCGCGTAACGAATCTTTTTTGCCACGCCAATTTTCGTAACTATTACTGTCGGTCAACGCTCCCTATGGCAGGGTTTTTGTTACGACATTTGTTACGAATTTTCTCTCGTAATCAAATGTTGAGCTTTCCGCGCGTGTGGCAGGGCTTTTAGTCACGATATTTGTTACGAAAGTTCCTCGCGTTACAAAAAACTTAGAGTGACCGTTTGTCAGCGTAGGATTATGTTACGATTTTTTTGTTACGTCATTGAACCCGTAATAAAAAATATATTTTCTTATGGTCATGAAATTGGCCGTAAAAAAAAACATCCAAATAACCATTTTTTGTTACATCATTTCATCCTTCTGTTACGGAAAAATAGTGTCTAATAAAAAATAATAGTTTTGATTTAGTTGAAATTGTGCGTAACAAATTGACCTCTTGTGATTTTCCTTATACCGAAAGAAATTATGTATACAACCATACTATAAATATCACGACCGGTCATAATTGTAAACAATAGACAATGTAAATTCTTCTTCCCAACATAGGATATTAACATAACAATATTTACTAGTCGATGTTCATCACCTAACAACAAAATTAAGTAATCCATCAAACAAGCCTAGCAACATCTCCACTACGACATTACGTTACGCAAAACGCAAGAATTTCAAACATCCAACCTAGTAATAAGCAAGTAGGGCTATCCATTAATCCATAACCACAATTCTCACTACAAAAAGATAATTCCAAATGTCTATACATTTAATACATAGGTAGTTCACATAGCCATAACAACCTACCATCAAAACAGGCAATCGATTAATATGCTTCAAGGATGGCGCATGAGTTGCAATTTCCAATAGAAGAGGTATAGTTTAACGTATATTTCTTTTTAAGTTTTGAAATTCAATATATGAAAGGTATGAAAGTAGATCCGTACGTCTTTGTAGTTCCACTTAATAGGATCTTCATCAACAACGTTGCGAATGGTAGTCGCCCCAACAATGATCGGCAAAATAAGAGGTGTGTCCAGGATTGAGGCGGATGTCATGAAGACCCTGACAAGGGAAAGTGTGTCACCTACAATATTCACAAGTGCAATTTGCGACTATATAATTCACCGTATATATTAACACACATTCAAACTGTATGTATAACATGACATAACGAATTGAAGTTGCTCTAGAATAAATGGTGTATCTAGGACTAAGGCGGATGCCACAAAGACCTTGACAACGAAAAGTGAATCACCTACAATATTCGCAAGGAAAATATGTGAGTATGTAATTCACTGTACATATCAAGACACTTGAGAACGATAACCTCGATTTGCCTTCACACATCCAAATGTAAACTTGCCAACTCAATATTCATGTGTATAGACATTTCAACAAGTAATACAATGTAAGGTTTTTTACCCATAAATTAGGCACATAAACACACAAACTAGTAATTTCCTTAATGATCCCACCCCTTTTAACTCAATCAAACACCTAAAAAATGATTGGT